CGCCATCACTAAACTGGTGATTTGATGGAAATAATATATTTTCAAAGAAAGTTAGTAAGTGAAAAGATGAAATTTGGGAATTGCATTCCTCAATACTTAAATTTCGGATTGGTCAGTTGTTTACTGTAGGTACACCCTTAGTACTCTCAAATGTAAACAATTAAAGCGGGGTTGTCATCAGCGTGTGTGAAAGACGACCACATCATCGACCCATGAGACTTTGGACACACCACAGTCCCTCTATCCCGAGACTGTGGACACACTTTCCGCGCTGTGCAGGTGACAACCCTTCCGCATTAATATCAACTGATGCTGTACAACTTATACTTTTATCTTGGAGTGAAATAAGATATATATTACATATGTATATTTTGTTTTTTTGTCATTTCTAAACCACAATTTTTTTAACAGTACGCCAATCACATTATTTTACAGATTTGAACATCAAATTTAATAACAATATGACGTCAAATATGCGCAGTATATACGAAGATGTAAACTACTATTTTAAAAGTCTTGGTTTGTTTTTATCGAGAGCAAAGACATGTATCAATGACTTGGGCAACAGGCAATGGTTAGAGCTTTTAACAGACCTTTCTTTCGATGCTGATAAAGAAATTCGACTGCTAACAATTGGAACTGGTAAAGGTAAACTTGTCCAATAAAATAGACAATGAGTAAACTTTATTTTACTTTCGATCCCATAGTTCAACCAACAGTGATTGTTTCCATTCTCTAGGTGACAGAGACTGCCTGTTAATCCAACATCTCTCAAAAAGATATAATAAGTTGCATGTCACTGTAGTTGAGCCAGCAAAGAGACAGCTCGATGAGTTTAAGAACAAGGCGGCAAAGATCACAGAAGATTTCCCTGGCGTAAGTTTTGAGTGGCATGTTAAAATGTTTGAAGATTATCAGAATGATCATAAGAAACCAGATGGAACCTTCCATATCGTCTTTGCTGGACATAGTTTGATATACATGAAGAACTGGGAAAGCGCTTTAGATGGAATGTACAATCACGTACAGCCTGGAGGGATGCTTGCAGTTACTGTTGTTCATGGACAGGGTAAGTGATTTATTTCGTACAAAAAATGTATCTTCAGCCTTCAGCATTTTACACACAAACACGGACAAGTGTTATTGACCAAAGTGAGGATATCTAGTTTAATTACAAAATATGACTTGTCTGTCAAGCAAGCATTTCTAATTGTCAAGATTATATCCTTATTACTTGAAGTGTAGTACAATATGAGATCAATTATACTCATTGCGGACACCAGTTACCATCGCTGAGACGTCAGTAATTTATGTAAACCGGCTCTTTATCTTGTTTAACAGTGATCTATGATTCATTGACCTAGCAACTTTACATTTCCTTGTAAGACATCGAACACTTCTCCTATTGCGACATTCCTATTAACCAATAGGTGATTTTCCGTACAATTGCCAGATCTCGCGAGATGCATGAAAGACGCGCGTCGAACGTCTGCCGCAAAAATCCAACGATTTGATTTTGAACTAGAATTTCTTTATTTCGTAGCTTACATTGACCGGCCGATCTTCGACAAAGGAATATTGCTTCCGAATACCCTTACTTAATCGAAATTGCCTATCATCAAATGTGGACAGCACATTATTAAGCATGGAAATGTCCCCAAAATACTTTCGCGTTTGTCGAATCCCACGCGATGTTTGACGCGACTACGACGCTATGACCTTTGTTTGTCCTGTTTTTACGTTCGATTTCAGGCATAACGCGTGATTCTCGCAGTGTACGGAAAATGGTCTATTACCTTCTTCATAATAACTAATAATAGTTTATGTCATGCAAATAGGTTTCCAGGGAAGATTACGAAAGATGTATCGAGACTTAGAAGGTTGTAGTTTGCATCTTCAGACTTCTGATGATGTGAAACGTCATCTAAAGACGAAGAATATTGAGCATTTGAATGAAAAAGAATTGAGCCGAGAAGTTGATTTCGACATATCAGATGTATTTGACGAATCATCTGATGATGGTAATGTATTGCTCGATTTCCTTGTACTCAGAAGTCAGTTTCGGAAAACTGCTCCACCAGACCACCAAGCGAAAGTGTTAAAGTTCCTGAGAGACAACTCAGTTAAAGAAAATGGAAGACACTGGTTGCATTCTGGTGAAGAACATGTCGCGGCCAGAAGATTGTAGTTAGTAATAAGTGGTCTGATCTGCCAAACGCAAAACGTGCACGTTTATTACGAAGTGCATTTCGGACTTAAAAAATAAAAATTAAAAATACATAAATACTTTTAATCGTTTATTCTGAATTACTTGAGTCATGGTATGTCGTCCCATGTGTTTGGTAAGTTTATATAGCCAGGAAAAACAAAAATAATAACAATAATAACAAGTGAAGATATTAGCAGTAACCAAATTCAGATGAATTTTGTCAGATTCATTTTTATTGATATTAAACATAGTTTAATGTAATTGACATAGTATTTGATATTTGTATATGTACACTACATACATACTACACTGAAACAATAAATGAACTTATTTCATGTTTTCTTCAAGTTCATAGATCATTTCGAAATGTAGATTAAGTGTGTGACAATAAATTGAATTTGATTGGTAAGGGATCTCTTGTAATATCTAAATTATTTAAGTTAAGTACTGTACACCGAATAATTAAAACTATTAAGAACAATTACATGTATTTAACAATTTTGGAAAATAATTTTAATTTGGTTAGTAAGAAGTCTTGTGTTATCTAAATTATTTAAGTTAACCATAGTATAGACGAGGCGCGGGATATAAATTTATTATTTTGTGTATACTAGAATAATTAAAAATTACGTACGTATTGAAGGCCGTAGCGTGTGTGTTTTAAAATGATGTGTGCATTTTGAAAGTTTGTAATTTGTAATTTATTCATTTAGAACAGTGCATCCATAAATAGTTGTTCATGCACAGCATATAGATGTAAAAATTAAAGTGTAACTGAATTGGGACAATTGACTTTTTTTGTGTGCAAAATTTATTTATAAACAACATTATGAAAAAAAATCAAGTGAAAAGGGTATATAAATTGGGTAAACAGTCAATGATATTCCGAAATCGCGCCACTCCCCCCTCTCCCATCACCTTCGAGTTTTTTTCGGCATTACGAGTGTAACCGAAATGGCGCCACCAACGGGAGCATAAAGCATGAGCTAGCTAGCAGACAGGATTGTTTATCATTTTCCATACGCACGCGTTTCGTAAACATATACAACGAGTTACCAAGATCGAGAATTCTTACGAGTTACCATCATATACAACGAGTTACCACGATCGTTTTCATGGGGAAACGCTGTGTTGTTGGCGGGTGTAGTAACACACACGGCGATCGCGTAAGTCTTTATGGGTTCCCAAAAGATTCGAATTTATGACATCAGTGGACCAAAGCCGTCAAGAACACCAGGAAACATTGGGATGGACCTTCTCCATATACCGTTATTTGCAGTGTCCATTTTACGCCCGAATCATTTGTTGATCCACCATCTGGATTCGTTATGAATTATTTGGGTTTCGGGAATAACTGTGTAAATAACCAGAAGATAATATTTTCCA